CCCTTCCCTTCCCTTCCCTTCCCTTCCCTTCCCCCAGCTCACAGACTCCTCGCTGCTTCCAAGACGAAAAACGTGGAAAATTCACATCTGTGCTACTGGATTTTGTGGATTTTGGTTATTCCTTTGGAAGGCTTAATGGCCAAAGTCATTGTTGGGATCAGAAGAAGATTGCACAGCACAGGGCCTGTGTCAGCAGCCACAGACTGGCACAGGGAATGTGGGATCTCAGCTGTGCATCCCCATGGCCCTTGCCAGCTTCCAGCTCCACAGGATGAGCAGATGGAGCAACAACCACTCCCCTGCTCTCTCATTCCAGGCCCCTGGAGCAGGGCAGGGAGAGATGCTGTGTAACAAACTGTCCCCTTCCTCCTTCCCACCACTGACTCCCTCTCCTTCCCACTCCTTTATGGACACCACAAGCTCCCAGGAGGTTTTCCCCAGGTAAGCCCAGAGCTCAGGGGATGGAGGGAATTAATGAGGGGCCCTGATGGTTCAGCACGTGCTGCCCACAGCCTTCCTCACTTTCTCACTGCTTCTCATTAACTCCTCCTCTGGCCCAGCTTTGTCTGGAAAAACATCTCAGATCCAGAAGGGAACAATGGAATCTGCACCAGTTCAACGCCCAGGCACCGAGTGGTGCAACAGCACCTCCACCTTTCTGCCCTAAAATTCCTCTTTGAGCACATTCCTCTTTAGAAAGCCTCTCCAAACACAGCCTTTGATGAGCCCATGGAATACAGGTCTGAGGTCTGTGCCGCCTGCTGGGAAAGAGGGGACAAAGCCCAGAAAATGCAGCGGCTCCTCGATAAAAATTTACATCATAAAGACGGGAAATACAGAATAATGCAATGAATGGTGTTTTCTCTCAAGAGGGAAAAAAAGAGCTACTCCCACATCGGTGATGTTGATGTAGGTTCTCATATTACAGGAGTGTGTATTCGGGTTAAAAAAAAAAAAAAAAAAAAAAGAATAAGCATAGAAAACCCTTTTTCAGTAAAAATGAATTGTGTTAATAAGGCAGCAAGTGCTGAGAACAGGGAAAGCTGTGCCTGTCCAACTGCCCCTGGTGGCTATTTCTGGCTTACAAGGCACTTGAAGCATCCTGGCAGCCCACAGTGGGAAATGTAGTCCAGATCCAGCAGGATGGACACTCAGCTAAACAGAATCCCCCAGGTTCATAAGGACTTTCCAGCCAAACCTGCCAGCAAGCCAGGCTCCCCAGCCTCTCACAGGAGCAATTCATAAACTGCAGCAAAAAAGCAAATAATTCAACCCCAAACTCCTCCAAGCCTTGTTCTATAAATAAAGCCGTTGTAACACAGTTTTTATATTTCATTATCCCCTGTGTTGTTCCACACGGTGCTGGCGGCAGCCGGGAATGTCAGTGCGTGGGGAGAGCAGCGCTGCAGCAGCACGGGGATGGAGCACAGGGGATCGGGGTGCCCGCACCACACCCAGTACCTGGGCGCTGGTACCAGCACCGCGGGTGACAAAGAGTCCCCGGAGCAGCCTGGCACCTGCGGGCTGGGCACGGGCACGGAGCCGCTGGGCTCACATCGATGGTAACCCCTGCGCCGGGCACGGCCCCCGGCAAATGCAGGCTCGGGTATCGGGGTCCCCTCAGGCCCGGGGAGAAGCTGGCACCGCAGCCTGCTCCCAGGGTGCTCCCCAAACAGGAGTAAATTGGCCATTTCGCGTTCCATATCCACACAAAGCCTCTCAAGGAGGCGATGTGCGGTGTGGATCACAGCTCGGATGTGTCCTTTGATCGTCACAAATAAATCAGACAGAGTGCCCTCCAAAATAGAAAGGAGAAGAGAATTATATCTGTGTCACTGACGGGCACGGGAAGCGAGCTGGAGACAGCACAGCCGGGAGCAGAGTCCGAGCACCAGAGGCTCCGCATGCCCAAACCTCCCCTGCCCAGCACCTGGCCAGCCCCGGAGCTCCCACGATGGGCTCATCCCTCCAGTTAAAAGCTGCAATCCGTGGGCTGGGTTCCCAGCAAACACACCTGGGTGGCACACGCTTCTCGAGCGGCAGCCTGGCAGTGAGTGTCCCCCCGCTGGAGCCGCATCCCGCTCCCCAGGAGCCTCCGCAAGCGGCCAAGGTACGGCGGGACCGGGGGGCTCCGAGAGCCGCCGCAGCCCCCGGCCCCCGTGCCAGCCCTGCCCCAGCCCCAGCCCGCACACCGGGGCCGGGAAGCAATGATTATCGCCAAAGTCCATGGAAAAGGGCTGGTTCAGGCAGAGCTCCGGCCGTGCCAGGCTCCAAGCTCCATGCCTCTCCCGCGGCGCAGCGAGCGAGTGGAAAGGGGGTCCAGCCCCTGCATCACCAGCACCCTTCCCAGCCTGTGGCTCCCGGACGCGAAGCGGGGGAACCCTAAGGGAGGGCTCCTCGGGGAGCCCCCACCGCACCCCGGGACCCGCTGCCCTTGCGGGGCGCCCGGACCCTCCGCAAACTTCCCCGTCCGGAGGCGCCGCGAGCGGGACGGGCTCGAGGAGCGAGGCTGGAGCTTGTCGGGCGGCCGGGCTGCGAGCGGGGCAAGCCGGGCTGCCCCGTCCCCTCTCCCGCCCGTCCCGGCCCCTCTGCCGCGGGATGCGGGCTGGGGACGCGCCTCCCCGGGAGGTACCAACTTCGCCCGGTCACCCCAAGGCCGAGCTGAGCCAAGCCGAGGCTGGGCGGCGGCTGGAGGGGGCTCAGCCCGCTGCTCCCCCTCCATCCCGCTGTTCCCTTTCCATCCCTCTGTCCTCCTTCCATCCTGCTGCTCCCTTTCCACCCCGCTGTCCTCGTTCCATCCCGTGCTCCGTGGCTGGAGCCGAGCCGTGCCCGGTGCTCGCTCCCCTCCGGCCTCGCCTCCGCTCCACTCCCGCAGCCGCGGCGCTCCCGCTCCCCCCGCGCTCTCCCCGCCGCTTTTCCCGGCCCCAAGCCGCTCCCGGCCGGGCCCCCGGACCCTCGTCCCCTTGTGGGACCTTGGTCGCTCCCGAAGACACCAAGGGGGAAAAAAAAGTTGCGGCGAGGGAAGTTCCCGGCTCGGGGCGAAGTTGGGGCCGCGGCCGCCGTGCCCTGCCCGGGGGAGCCGCGGCGGCGGAGGGGACCGGAGCGCACCTACCTTCAGCTATCGCCCTCTTCATCTTAGGGGTCGGGGAAGGCACGTCTGGAGGCGCAAAGTGAAGCGGCAGCGGTACAATCCTTGGGAAAGCGGGGCAGATCCCGATGCCAAACTTCAGCCCGAGCGGGGAGCGGCGGCGCGCGGGGAGGGGGGGGCGCTCCCGCTGCCGGCGCCCTCGCTCATCGGGGGAATGAGCAGCCCCCGAGCTGGAGTCAGCATCCAGGCGAGGCTCCCCCTCCCTGCCTCGCCTCGCTTCGCCTCGCCTCGCCTCGGCTGCCTCCTCCCTCCGCCCGCCCGCCCGCCGCACGCACGGGGCCGGGGCTGCGGCGGATCCCGCGGCGGGGAGCGGAGCCGGCTGCGCTGGATCCCGGGAGCGAGCGGCGAGCGAGCGGGGATGGAGAGGCGATGAATGTTTTATGGGATCATGTGGTTTGACGTGAGAGGAATCAGCCTAGATCGGATTTACTGGCTGGAGGAGTGAGCGGGAGGACGGGGGAGCCGGGCACGGGCTGGCGGGGGGAGGAGGGGCCGCTCCGACGGCGGCGGCTCCGCGGCGGAGCCCCCGCGGTGCGCGGCCGCGGCCCGGGCAGGGCTGCGCGGGGCCGGCAGCCTCATTCCTGGAGGAGAGGTGCCACCTAAAGGAAGCGGCGGAGAGGGACGCTCGGGCGGCGGCGGGCACCGGGCCCGCTCCCTCCTCCCCACCGCCCGCCGCAGCCGCGCCCGCACCGCCCCGGGGGCCGCGGGGGACACGGCTCGGAGCCCCTCAGGAGGCACCGGAGACCTCGGCGGGTGTTCTCTCCCGCTCTGGATCTGCGCACCGGGGAGGCGGCGAGAGACATCCGAACCCGCGGTGCCTTCTCTTCCTCGCCAGATTCGGCTGCTGCGGGTGCGGAGCTGCTACTCTCCCGAGGGAGGGGTGTCAGAGAGCCCTTTGGGTACAGCCCGAAGGAGAATCTTCAACTCTCCCCTCCGGCTGAGCCCTCTCGCTATCCCTGCCCCTTGGGATCACTCTCCCGCGGGCAGGAAGGACAGTAGCTTGCCTCAGTTTACCCCAAGAGCACGAGGGTTACACCGTAGCTGACGCAGGGTGAAGCTGGATTCCCGTCCTGCCGAGCCCTCCCGCAGCCTTCCCCGTCCTGGAGGGACAGGGGCTCCTGCACAGGCAGATCCCATCTGCAGCCATCCCATCTGGGAAGCAGAAAGATGGATTTTTATTAAGTGAACTCATTTGCTCAGTGGGGAAAGGAGGAGGGAAGGATTGTGCCAGGGAAAGCTGAACATCCACAACATGGAGAGGTGGTGGCTCTGTCCCTGCTAGTCAGAGGTTCAGCTGCTACCAGATCCATGGACAGTGTGTACATATGTCTGTATCCATGTGAAACCCCACTTGGAACTCTGCATGCAGTCCCGGTGCTCCCAATATACGGGACATGGAACTCTAGGAGCAGGTCCAGACTGGAGCCCCTCCCCTATGGAGACGGACTGGGAGCTGGGATTGTTCAGCCTGGAGAAGAGAAGGTTGTGTGGAGACCTCACAGCACCTTCCAGGGTCTGAAGAGGCTTCAATGAAGCCAGGGAGGGGCTTTTCATCAAGAACTGGAGCGCCAGGACACAGGGAATGGCTTCCACTGACAGAGGGCAGAGATAGATGGGATATTGGGAAGGAATTGTTCCCTGGGAGGGTGGGCAGGCCCTGGCACAGGGTGCCCAGAGTAGCTGTGGCTGCCCCTGGATCCCTGGAAGTGTCCAAGGCCAGGTTGGACACTGGGGCTTGGAACAGCCAGGGACGGTGGAAGGTGTCCCTGGCCATGGCAGGGAGTGAGATTGGAAGAGCTTAGAGGTCCCTTCCAGCCCAATCCATTCTGCTATTCTACTGTGTGTGTATTTATTTTTACCTGTGTACACCAGCTGTAGAAATACTACTGAGCCTTCATTCCTCACTTATGGTTTGTCACCCCAATATTGGCCATCTTTTCCAGCTTGCCCTCAGGGTTGGTGTCACAACCACATCCCTCCAAGGCCTGCCCAATTTCCACCTTTCCATGTAGGCATCACTGCAGGGTGAGCCAGGGTTCAGCTTCTCCTGTATGCAATAACCCTCTCACCACACTCAGAGGCTGTGGATGCCTCAGACTGACCCAGCCCACAGTCATCTATGGAAAAAGAAACTCAGCTAAATGCACCCAGCTGGACACTTGGGGCAGATGGAGGTGATTTACTCAGTGAGGGCTTTATTTGTGCCAACAGCCTCAGCTGGCCCAAGGTCCTGGGCTCAGAATCACAGAATCACAGGATGGGTTGGGTTAGAAGGGACCTTAAAGCTCATCTGGTTCCAATCCCACTGCCGTGGGAAGGGATACCTTCACTAGGTCCTTGAAGCCCCATCTGAAAATGATCCAGGAGAACTGTCCAGACACCCTCTACCTGTGCAGATGTGAAGTTCTGTACAGCCTAGGGCCTGCAGCCCCTTCCTCCAGCCCCCTGGAGAGGGCAGGTGGCACCTGGCAAGGGCAGGGGGCTCCCTCTGGCCACTCTCTTTCTGCTCTTCCAGAATGCAAAGGTGCAGAGATGATTCCCTAATGCTCTTCCTTCCCACATCTCCAGCCCAGCTCAGGCATCCCCCAACCTTCTCTACCCTTTCTGCCTTGCCTGCCCCCTTCCCTCTGTTTGCTCTGGGTGACGCCCAGCTGTATCCTGCCCATCCTGGATTTTCCAGGCGCCCTGTCACTCTTAATGAACAGGAGAGCACTTAATGAACATGCTGCCAGAGGAGCACTGGGCCCACAGTGTTACAGCTGGGCCACAGCTGGGACACTTGGTCACCCTTGGGTGCTTGGACCAGTGCAAAGCAGGTCTGCTCTGAAGGAACAGAAGGGTTTTCTGGGATTGCCAGGATAGGTGAGGTCTGGGAAGAGACAAGGACCATTCCTGTGCAATCTGTTGCAGCACACTGTAGTCTGTTTATGAACATCTTCTGCAAGGGAGGATGATCCCACCCTGCCCTGCTATTCCTGCAGTGGCAGCCCAGCTAGCACAGGTTGGGAATGTGCTGCTCCTCCCTTTTGAACACACCTTCAAGCACTCCTGTTTCAGCAGTGCCCTTTGACTCCACCATCCCAAGTGGTGCAGCAGGAGAGAGAGGTCACCGACGTGCAGGGCATCAAAATAGCTGCAGAAGAAAGGACCCTGGAGCTGGAATTTCCTGGGAGAGGGCTGGAAGGTGAGCAGGGGCACTGAAGGAGTTAATTGAAGCTCTAGTCACAGGCCCAAAAATTCCAGGTTGTACCAGAGAGGCGGTGGCTGTTTGGCTGACATTTCTGAAAGGTTAATCTGGAAACGGAGAGAGCACATCTGTACAGGGCTGGGGCTGACTCTTCTGTAGATTCTGCACCTCCTTGGGCTGTGTGACCCAGCAGTTGTGACACCGAGGTCACCGTGAGGCAGCGTGGGGCCGTGACCTTGGCACGCAGTGATGCTCCACAGCGTCCTCGGGCTGGCTCTGCTTCCAGCCCGGATGACAAGGCACAGAACTGGCTCTGCTTTGTGCCCCGTGTTGGACATCTGTGCTTCCCATTTCTCCACGTGGCAAGGGGGTGTCCAGCAAGAGCTGGGTGAAGGAGGGGTGTCCCAGGCAGATCTCCTGGGGGAGCCGGGGTGCTCGCAGTTGCAGTGGGAGTAATTCTGGAGAGGAGCCAGCGCTGCTCGAGGTGAAGACACCTTGCTTTGACTGGATAATTATATGTTCGTCTCTACCTAATGCTTAAGCACGCTGGGATCAATTCTCTTCCTTCACGTTGGGAGTTTTGTTTGCAAAGTGCCATCCCTCCTTGCTCTCTTCAACCTGGGGGTGTGAGCACAGGGGCCCCAAAGGATTTAGGGCACATTCCTGGGCCTGTGGGCACTGAAGAGAGAAGTGGATGTGGGGGAACAGAGAGGGCACATGAAATGGGAATTCATTGTCCTTTGCTGTGCTCACACCCACCCCTTTCTTTTTTAATAGAGCCTAAAGGAATTGGCTCCTGAATCCCAAAATTGAATGAAGTGTCTCTTGTTCTGGTCCAGTAAAGGCTTTTTACCTTTCTTTCCCACGGCCTTGTGGCTGCACCTGTCCCGTGTCTGACGTGGCTGGGAGCACCTGAAAACATCTCAGAGAGGAGCAAAGAGGAAGAAAAAGGGCACCAAAAGGCCAGTTTTTTTTGCTCGTTCTAATGGAAGGGGGACAAGATGCTCTTTTAAGGTGCTTTCCAACTCAGCCCATCCTGGGACTCTGTGTTGTGTCTCTGCCAAGTTCTGGCACTGCCTGTGCCCACAGGAGACAGGAGGAGATGTGGGCACACAGTGCAGCCTGGGCAGTCAGCAGCTGAGGGAATGCCACCTGCCCCAGCAGAGAGCCATCCCTCTGGGCTCTGCAAGAGTCACCCTTCAGAGGCACAAGAAGGTCTTTTCCAAGTAGCCTGCACCTGCTCTGAGGCCAGGCATGGGCACACCATGGGGCAGACTCTCAAATACAGAACTAAAAGGGCTCCCCAGACCCCACCACTGCACTCTTGATAAAGTTTATGTTTGACACCTTCTACCTGTTAACTTTCGTGAAGGGCACTGAAACCATGGCTCCTTCCTGGACATTTCCAGCAGCTGGAACATGGCCCCTGCAGACTGGGAGGCTCTGCACCAGCAGGGCTCCTTGGCCAGGGCAGCACACGAGGAGGATCTGTGCTGACAGCATTTATCCAGGCACACAGAGTAGCTCCTGCTCCATTTTCAGCACTTGAACTGCTGCACTCCAGTGGGCAGAGAAGTTCTGTGCCGGCAGAGTGACTCTTCCAGCAGAACAGAGTACCAAGACAGAATCATCCTACACCCACACCAAATATTTATAATATCTAAGAGATATTTTACACATGACTGTATTTGCAGTTGATGTGAAGTTGTGGCAGGCGGGACCTTGTTCTGGGATCGATCTCCAGAACACCTCAGCTCCCACAGGAAGTGCCCCACAGACAGAAGGAGCCCAGCTGTCCACAGGAGAAATTTCCTGGGGAAGAGGAGGGGCAGGCACTGAGCT